TTTTTTTTTTTTTTTGGGTGCTTTTTTTGTTTTTGTTTTGCATAAGAAAATCTTCATTTCCTGTCAGTATTTTATCAGCTAAATCTCATCTTCCCTCTGCGAAAAAAAATTGCTCCTCTCCATTATCGAACATTATCTAAGCGGAATCAAGAGCGAACATTCAAAAATTTAGTCACTTAGCCGTCAACAACAACTCTTTTTTCAAAAAAAAAAGAATATTTTTAAAAAAACAGTAACAAAGAAATAGAACTTACTTTATTATTCCCCTCCCCCCCTCCCCCCCCAAAAAAAACTAAAATTTCTTTTCTTTTTATTGAATCCACATACAACAATAAACGGTAAGTTTTATAACAGACAATTTGAGCATTGAAGTTGAAGCGTTAACCAAAGTGTTCAAAAAGGTTTGTAATGAGGGAAACTGAGAAAAATGTGCCAGCAATATTGTTGTTATATGGAATTTTTCTGAAGAGCAAAAAAATAGCCATATCACGTTACTTTCAGCAAATCGGCATACCTTAGTAACGGAGAAGAGAGGGGAAGGAAGGGGAATATGCAAAAGTTTACCAAAATTTAGTTTCATCTTTCCTGAGTGTTTGTTCAAAAGTATTGCCCTAAATTTGGCTACAATTTTTCCGAGATTAATTTAGCAGCAGTTCGTGAGCATAAATCAACGGCAATCTGATCCATAAATATTAAGAAAAACGAATTGTTGTTAACAATTGACTGAAAACATATAACTGTTTGTCGACAAAGAACAGCAGTGATTCCAAGTTTTTTTTTGCCTTTGTTTCAATGTTCCACGTAAGCAGTTCTCGATTCTCAAAATTTCCTCTCCCTAGTGACCGATACAAATAACAACTTAACAAATTTATCATCAAATAAATTGACCACATAAAAAAAAAAGAAAAATAATTTTTTCTTGTGAAATATACCGTCGTTTTTTTAAACTTTTCTTTATTCATTTTAATATTTCCCTTTCCACTTTTTTCTGACAAAAACACTTTGCTAACTTTCGACAATCAGGTTCAATAACTTGCTGTCAGAAACAGTCGATGCTCCCAATTCTTCACACATTTATTCATCACCGTTCATACCGTTGCAAAAACATCAAAAAAACATCAGTTATTTCTGTTAAAAATTTAACGTAATTTCAACAGACACAACAGGTTATGTTTCTAAAAAGATATCAAAACGAAATGTGAGAAAAAAAGCATAAACACTTATACGTTTATTGTTAATCGTCAATCAACTGTCAATAATTAGCCAATCATACATTTATTCAACAAAAAGTTATTTCAGAAATTCTTCAATTATTTCAGGTTAAATGTCGTTACCAATGTAACAGTTACAATTCATAATAAATTATGTTGATTGAAGAATGGTTGTTAGCACACAGATTAATCCAAATTAAAAAAAACAATAATTTATTGAAGAGATTTCTATGCGGGAAATATACATAATATATGTGAAGTGCATATCACTGGAAAATCATCTGCGACAATATCACGTCAATTCTGCCTTTATCGGCTGTATAAGAACAAAACAAGATGTTTTTGAAATATGACAGTTTTCACTAACATTTCGGTACTTCTGAATTCCTAAATTGCGACTGATCTGATCATATTTCTATTTTCTGGACGTCTGTAACATCATAAAGCAGACCTGTAGTTTAAGAAACACTTTTTAGTTACAATTTAATTGATCCTAACGGCTGGAGTGATTGACAGTGATTCTT